ACGCAACCCTGATGAGTGATAACAGTACTCGCACGATGACCCCTTCGTCATTCTCCATTCTTGAAAAAGAAACAATCCACCGTCCTACGAAACGGTTGCGGGGGTCGTCTGGGATTGAAAAAACAGACCAATATTTCCACCGCGGTGCCTTGGAATATCACCTCCAGCATATTGCGCACTATGCCTTATGAAGACAACACCCATTTTTTGAAAATTGTTAACTAGGTATTTTTTGTAATGCCATGAATTTGTAGTTGTCGTTTCAAGTGCTGATTCCAAAAAGCATTGTAACCAGGTTTATCACAAGACCGGTGTTTCCTTACCAGATCATAAAGAAATCCTCCCTGCTTCTGTAAGAAACACACTTTACCCACCTAGGAGGTAGATTTCTCTTAAGCGCCCAAACCGGAACTTGAATTTTACGGAAATACCTCGCGACATCTCGACATTCTACGCAGTGATGAGCTAAGACGTATTCCGCTGATGCTTCAAACAAATCTTAAGATTCCTCACGGACCACATCAAAGCGTGCTCTTTGCGTTCAAGAGTAACGTGCAATAAATTCCGGAAAAGTAGATTGTCGTAATCTCACTTGCATCACATTCTCCGCTTTTGGATGTTCTGTTCCGCGTATGGAGCCAACCCATTTATGTGCACTACGACTGGTTTTCCTCCTGGTAGTTTCCGTATCCGATATATTAAGTCGTTTATTCTATATACGGTTCTTCCCAAGCTCTTTGTAATATCGGGGATAGCCCGCATCTCCTCTGGGGACGATACAACCAAACCAGATCTCCGGGTTGATAACCACCAGCTTGGGCCTTCACGTCATACTGCACTTTCATTCTATCGCTAGCTAATTGCATATTATGGCGAACTTTGTTTACTTTGGATATCGATTGTAGAAAAAATTTTAAATCACACGGCAACCAGAGTTCGCTACCAAACAACACGGACGACGAGTTTCCTGCACTATAGAACAGTTTGACAGGTACTTTTCCATTGTAGCACCGACGCAAAATTTTGTCCCTGGTCAGAGTCCGAGAAGGGGCCTACGATATCAATAGCTATTCTTTCAAATGGACTACCCACTTATATTGCCTCATTGATGCTTGCTTCTTGTGACACAACTACACATTTTCTGCACCAGTCCTCACATCTTGTTTGCATTTCACCCAGTAGAATCGTTCTCGCACCTTTCCTTAGATCAGAATCGAGTATTCTGCGGGCTACTCCGAATTAGGTTTTCCTAAGTTCAAAGTTTTATTTATTTCCAATAGATTACATAAATGTAATACAGGACATGTCAAAATTTACATTATTACATATAAAACATACAAGACGTTACAACGAATTAAAATATTCTTCAAGGGAATTAAATTCCTTCTTCAGTGGGTATGATATTAATGCGCGTTTAAAGCTTTTTAATGTTAGAGATTTAAATGAGAAGTCCTAATTCGTAAGGTAAATAGTTGAGTAGTATAAAACAACTTAAACACTTCTGCAGGGGCACCCATAAAGAGCATTATCCGAGTCATTCTGTAATTGGTCAAAAGCCCCTTAAGGGCCCAGGCTCCAGAACAAAGTGGAACCATAAATAAATTAATTAATGAATTAACCCAAGGTTTTCGTCACTCCTGGATGCCCTCCCAATGTATCATCGTGTATCTATAGTGTACTTCAGAGTTTTCGTTGTGCCATCATCATTTTCTACAACCCTCTTAAGGAATCCATCTTCTAACCGTAACGAATCCCACTGAGCTCAATACGCCTTTAAAACTGGACCATATACAATAATAAGGCATCTGCATTAGATGGTTTCGCGCGGTGTTCTGTTATGAAGTCGTAACCTTGCAATCTTTCCAACCATCTGTCCACTTGACCCTCTGGATTCTTAAACTGCAATAACCATTGTAATGCGGAATGGTCGGTCCTTGCGACCTTGACCATCTTATTGCGATGTTCAGGATCCTAACCAACTTGCCAGTAGCCGCTCTTCATGTTTAAGGTGGCAAACCACTTAGAACCCGTAGTCCCGTACGCGTATCTAGCGTGTAATCTATTCGGGGAAATGGGGCTTTATTACGTTGTTCAGTTGCCTATAATCTACGCAAACCTCGTGCTGCCATCTTTTTTCTTCAATATCACCGGCGAGGTCCAAGGGCTGCTGGATGATTAAATTATTCCTTGACCAGCCATGTCGCTGATGATCTTCTCAGCTTCGTCTTCTTGGATGTTGCTTGATAGGTTGGGCATCTCTCGTATTTATTTTATTAGTTAGCATATTGCTTCACTTGAAAAGTCCTTTCGCCAAGGTGCACATCTTGGTAGTGGCAAATTAACTTTTTTGCCTGGTTATTTTGTTGTCAAATCGTTGCTTCTCTAGTTGTGCAAATAACTATTTTACTATGACGGGAAAAACGTTTGACATTTTATCTTTGTTGCCAGGTACCAAAATGTCACTTTTAATGAAATTAGAGAGTACTTTTTTCCCGGATATACTCGCACATGCACATAAGTACAGATAGATATTCAATTTTTGTGACGCTACTTTCACTGCTTCTATTAACTCCGGTGAAGTCAGAGAAAATTCAGAATCAGACACTTTTTTGCCTAAATAATAAATTCCTTTGCAAGGCAAAATTTTAACACGTCTCTAAACCACTTTGTGTATGATACAATATACGATATCAATCAAAATAAACAAATTCGATTTCTTAAAACCGATGGTGAGAATGATGAATTTTTAGACAATTTCCATTAGACGAAATTATTCAGAACAGAAAGTCAATATTCCATTTCTGTTAAAAACTAACCTCAAAACCAGATGAAGGCAACCCACCAAATTGTTAAAATTTAATTCTTCTGGGAGGATTTCTTCCAAATTTAATGCTTTATTGTCAAAATTGATGTCACAAATTGATTTTGTGGGACTAGATGCTTTTTCTTACCGAGCTTTTTACTGTGTTTCTAATGAAATAGTTGAAAGTGGTATCCACTAACAGAATTTAGGAATATTTCTCCGCCCCCGATTATAGTGTTGGCATAAGTTAGTTTAGCAGTCTCAAGAGCTTACATCTCTTTCTTTAAAATTAGTAAGTTTCTTAATGAAACAATGAAATGGGTTCGAGAATAGATTTAACACGCGCGCATGGTGTAAGTGCAGTGCATAATTAATATCGCTCCACTGTAGTGATTAAACGCTTGTTAATCATTTGGTAAAGCACATGATTTCACAATTTTTTGTATGTGATATTATTTACGACAATTAACTTCATGCGAGAATTTGAACATATTGTAGAACGGGAACGAGGTTCGTTTGTATATACAAATTTTTTTGACTATCTTCTTTATTTCGATAGTAGATACCACAACCTCACTTGAAATACATAGTCACAGCAAGTATAGGTAAAGGAAATGCAATCAATTTTAAATCAACGCCACGTATAATAGGATCTTTGTGCACTGTACCTTTGTGTAGAAATAACTACTGATACCCAAATCGCTACTACTACCATGTTCAACGCATTGATTTTACTTTGTGAAGTTAGTGCTCTCATTCATCGCCTTTAAAACTGTCCTCGGATTTTGCTATTTTTTGCCTCTCGCCCCCGTTTTAATTTTAAATAGCAATTTGATACGTTGTGCAGTCGTTTTGGAATATCATAAAAAGTAACATTAACTTTGATTACTTTGTTGTGCTCTACTTATTTAAATTCCAGAGTGAGACCCCAAACGATTGTGATTATAATTTTCAATTAATATTGGGTTTTCATAGTTTAGGAACACACATGTGCAAGTCAAATAATGTGATAGCGAGTGATGGGGAATATACATTACAGTTTGGCAGTTTTTCTGTCCGTTTACATGTGATGGATCGAAAATAGCCTCACTGTAAAGTCTGCGCCGCAGACCGTAATAGCAAAACGAACTACATTAACCTCAACGTCTACCGTCATTAAATTTCCTTCCAAAAACGTAGGTACCACTTTAATGCTAGTCACAAGGTGCATGCCATCCCGGCGATGTACATCCCGGCGACGTACAACCCGGCACCGTTTTCCCGGCAACCATTCCTATCCCGGCATCCGTCATCCCGGCGACTATTACCTTCCCGGCCTCAAATATTCCGGCAATACACACTTTCCTAACGGCGTCTGTCCAACCGCATTTTGCTTTTTTTTGGACATAAACAATGATATACTTTAGAGCGGTTGTCAAATTATGTACCGAAAGTGGTTGTTATGGTTGAAATATAGAAGGAAGCTCAAATAAGCCGTCTTGTTTACACAATTGCCTGTGGTGCAAACGACGCATGTTTTAAAATGGCGTTGTACCGTTTGCCTACACAGGACCAGAAAACTATACTTCAAACTTTACTTTAAAGCGAAATTTATAGTAGAGTGCTCCGTGGCATAAATTATGATTTCCGTGGGGGTTTTGGTGTCACAAGCTGAAATTCACAAAAAATCAAAGGTCATGATATACTGATTGTAAATGTCAAGGCCGTCCAAAATCGGTCCATGCATTAGGGCACAAAACGCGAAAAACGAGTTAAGCACATGTACGGAAAGAAGAAAAAATAACGAATTTTTTCGTATATAAATCAAAATGTTCTTTGTACAGTGAAAGTAATAATAAATTATCAAACGTTTCGAATTACATTGGGTCTTACGGAAGAATTAAACTTCAAAAGCGATTATCTCAGTTCGATATCCCTAAAAATTCGACAAATTTTGAGCAACTTTTGCGTTTACATCGTATTATTTAATAAACGGAAGCCTAAATCAAAAAGTTTTACTCTTAAAAAAAGTTTCGCTCATCGTTTATCTTTACATTGCACCGAGAATTATAATTTTATCTGCAGTAGTAACCAAAATATGTAATTAAAAGTAAAACAACGAACTTTTTACTCACTTACAAACGGAGCGCTTTCGCTCCGGTGAATACAATCCATCTCTACATTTCCCGTAGCTCCATTTCGCTCTTACACCATAGGTACGTTCTCGACACGGGTATACCAGAGTTTTGCCAGTGTATTATTTTGTGTAGGTATTGCGTTTTTTTTACAAATGTATATTTTAAAACCAACTTTAAATTAAGAGTGGTCAATAGTGAACGAATCAGAAGTGAAATTGATTAATTGTAGGTACACTAATATTTTATAATTATTTTTTAACTGGGGTTGTAAAGTTACAGAATACAAATATGGATAGTACAGATAGCACCGGTACAAGTGATGAAAGTGATCTTGAATGTTTGTTAAAATTTAAGGGTAAGCTCCGTCCAATATGTATTATTTGCAAAAGAGAAGGTGCATCTTTAAGTGTTACTAATAAAACTGCACTAACTTTCATAGAATGTACAAAAATTAGAGACGGCATAACCAAAGTTTCCGATTCACAAATTCACAAAATAATTAAAGACATCAAGCTTGGAAATATAAGTTTATGGTATTGGCATAAGTCATGTTATTTAACGTACACAAGCAAGAAAAATATTGAAGCTTTACGTAAAAAACTTTCCAAACCAGACCAATACCTTGAAAGCGGTTTAACACCACCCCCTACAATAGGCAAATCTTTGCGGGGAATAAGTTCATTTAACATTAATAGGTGTGTAATTTGCCAGAAACGTTTACCCGAAAAACGCTTGTCACAGGTAATGTCCATAAATATTGACCAAAAAATAAAGCATATAGCAAGTGTCAATGTAGATGTTTTAAAGAGAATAGGATCGAATGATTTGATTGCCATGGAAGTTAAATATCACGTGACTTGCTTAAACACATATCTAAGAAAATATAGGAAAGCATCCGCTGATTCTTCGGAACAGTTAATCATTAAAAGCGCCAAGCAAACAGACGACAGACCATTTAATAATGTGCTAACTAAAGTAAATGAAGGTATCGCAAAGGGGAAGGCTTTTACTCTATCCGAGATATATAGTAAGTATGTTCAATTAAATGGGTTGAAATCAAAACGTGTTTTCGTTGAGGCGTTGAGAAGAAATTTAGGAGAACAAATAGAAATTGTTAAATCGAGACGTGTGAACGAATCCTCTATCCTTCTACCAAAATTTGGAAAAACGGAAACTCTCCACGAATATATCGATAATGCCGATGATGCTTCTGGTTCGCAATCCATACTCATAGGTCCTTCTGAACTGGCGCAAATGGACAAAATATGCAGTGATATTCGAGTTGAACTTGATAAAATACCAGATTTTGTTGATTTTAACGATCTTACTATTGAATGTTACAAACAATACATACCTGAGAGTTTAATTTGGATAATAAAGTGCATAACTGGCGATAGCGGGGAACTTAATTCAACCATGAGTATTTGCCAAGACATTATTTATAGCTGTTTTAAAGGGCAAAAGATAACACCCAAGCACGTGGGCCTAGGGATCATGATTCATCAAGAAACTAGATCAAAAAAAATTATCGAATGCTTGCACTCCTGCGGGCATTCTATTCCGTACAAAGATGTGTTAAGACTCAGAAATACCATCGCTCAGAAAGAAGTTTCACGATTCGTAGAAAATGATAACTCTTACATACCCACGCAACTCGTTGAAAAACGTTTTGTTCAATTCGCTGGAGACAATATCGACATTTTGGAGGAATCTCTTGACAAAGCGCCTACCTTTCATGGAACCCAAATCGTTGCTTTTCAGGCAGGGCCACCACACAGGCAACTTTCACCACTAAAACTACTGCCCTATAAAATAAAATTAACCATTCCTGAAAGTTTTCACACGTTACATAAGTCAAATTATAACAAAAGCAAAAAATCTGTTCCACGGCTAGAAAATAAAAAAAGCATCCTCACAGAAGCAAAACAAAACAGTTTTATTCAGGCTTATAATTTTGCGTGGATACTGTGCAGGACGGCTGCCACCGACACGCATAAAGGTCCCAGTGCTGTGGTAGTTCCGCAGTGGTCTGGATTTGGAAAACTGTTGCATCACGATGACACACATATTACAACATACGCTTACCTACCTTTATTACCTTATGTGGCGTCAGAATACGATACTGTCTGGACAACGATGGTACGATGCGATCAAATTGCAAAAAAATTAAAATATCCGTATACGGTCATAACTTTCGATCAAGCTATATATTTTAAAGCGAAAGAGATACAGTGGTTGAAATCTGAAGAATGTTCGCATTATGTAATAAGATTAGGTGGATTTCATATAATGTTAAATTTTCTGAAAGTTATTGGGCAGCATATGGAGTGTTCGGGACTTAACCATGTATGGTTGGAATCAAATTTATATGGAGATGCGACTGTTTCAGGAATTATGGAAGGAAAAAAATGGAACAAAGGTATACGCGCACATAAAGTTACATATGAAAGTCTCATGAGAATCTTTACGCCGATGTTTGAAAAATGGTTAATCGAATGTAAGAGCGATCTCATACATACTATAAACATGTCGAGATTAAAGGCTAACGAAATTTCTAAAAAAATTAAGAAACAAAAACCTTTAACTGATTTTTTTGACATTATTAAAAGTTGTGAAGAGTTGCAAAATGCATTTAGAGACTTTATTGATAGCCAGTCCCCTACATTTCAACTTTGGTGTAGTTACTTGAATATGGTAGAAACTTTGTTAGAATTCTTGTACAGTGAAAGAACTGGTAAATGGGAACTGCATTTGCAAAGTTTTAGAAAAATGCTTCCGATGTTTTTTGCATATGACCATACACACTACGCCAGGTGGGGTAGTGTGTACTTGTGTGATATGAAGAATTTGTCCCTTATTGCACCTGCCGTGCATAAAGAATTTCTTAATGGCCATTTTGTGGTGAAAAAATCTAAGGGAGGATTCAATCATATTTCGGTTGACCAAGCATTAGAGCACGTGAACAAAACGTCAAAGGATGCTGGAGGAATTATTGGTTTAACTAAAAACAGTACCAGATTAGATGAGTGGTACCTTAGTTTTAATGAAATAGGTGACATGATAAACACATTTCGGGGATCCTTGAAATTAGATCCCGATAGTAGTAGCCAAAATATTGAAATAGGTAAGCAAAGGATTCTTATCGATGAACAAACTGTTTTAACCTTACAAGAACAATTTCTTAAATATGGAGTTTTTTCTACGCATACTGAAAATGTGATATCTATTGCTACAAATGAGATATATTCGGAGGAATTACAAACAGCAACACTTGGTGCTAAACTAAGAGGTGAAGCAGCTCTTGAAAGTTTCATTCAAAGTATGGATAGCACAGATTTTTACAAACCACTTAAAAAAATACGCACAGCTGCATATGTGAAAAGAAAAGAGCAACCTTCGACAAATTCAGATAAATTGTTGGGGCAACAGTTTTTACAGAAAATATTGGCTGCAAAAGAAATGGGAAGGAATATAAATTACGAAGATATATTTCGACATGAATTGACACATTTTCCTATGTCTCTAACGGCGAATGGACAACTAGGCACTCCATCACACAAAAGTGCATTGGGGAACATACTCGAAAAATATACCCAGTCTTGTACAATGCTACCTCCAGAAAAAGAAAACACGAAGACATGCCACATATATGATGGTATGTCAATTGTACAAATCCTGGGCAAACCATTGAATTGCAAAACGTTCGGAGAATATGCGGAAATTTTTTCCAAAATTGTGTTTACTAACAGATTCAATGCAAAAAGAGTCGATGTGGTTTTTGATAACTACAGGGAAAATTCTATAAAAAATGTTACTCGGATGAAAAGAGGTCAAACAGTTGGTATTCGCAGAATAATCGATAATCCCAACACTACGTTACCTCAACAATGGCACTTATTCATTAACTCTGTATTTAATAAAAGGCAATTGACAAATTTTCTATCAGAACAACTAATTACCCTTTCTAAAACTAGACAGATCCAATTTGCTACAAGTGGAGGGTTCGAAAATGTTACCGATTTTAAAACTAATGTTGAATTAGGAGATTCTTGTAAATTTCTTACTTCTGATCATGAAGAAGCGGATACTAGAATTATTTTGCATGTGTTGTCTGCTAAAATGGCTGGGTACACCCGGTGTATTGTGGAGTGTAGCGATACAGACGTGCTAGTTCTGTTAGTGCACTTCAAAAAGCAGCTTATTCCTGAACTCTGGATGAAAGTTGGCAAAGGGGAAAACTTAAGGTACATTCCAATTCATGATATCAATATGTCTGAAAATCTTTCCAATAATTTACCAGCATTCCATGCTTTAACGGGTTGTGACACTACAAGTCAATTTGGAGGATTCGGAAAGAAGACCTGTTGGAAAGTATATCTGGCATACAGTCACTACTTAAATGGGGTGGGCATGGATGACATCTCAGAAGAATTGTTCATCCGCATGTACAATTTCGTATTAAAAATCTATTCCAAGAATCCAAATATCACGTCCATTAATACACTGCGTGGAGTTATGGCTGCTGCTACGCCCATCAATAAGTTGCCACCAACAGAAGATGCACTGAGGCAACACTGTTTAAGGGTGTGTTTTCAAACTAAAGTATGGCTGCAGGCATCAGTACCACTCCCAAAATTACCCTCCACAACAGAATTCGGATGGTATGTTAGTGCAAAACGCGAACTTTTGCCTGTTTTTACCACATTGCCGCCATTCCCCACCAATTTGGCTGTTCTAACTTCTTGTGGATGTAAAAAGGGTAAGTCCTATTACTTTACTCACTCAGCTTGAACAATATATTTATGTATATTCGTATAGATTGTGCCAGTAAGGTGTGTTCTTGTAAGAAGAACAAATTGTGTTGCATAGGCTCTTGCAAATGCATGGCCCAAAAAACATGCAAAAATCCACTAACCGCATCCCAATCAATACTTCTTCCAGAGCAAGGCGATTCTGAATGCTCAGATGACGAGTAGGTTATTAAAAAATTGAGTCAGATTTTTTCCATGCGCCTTTTTCTTTTAATGCACCTACCTAAGTAATTAAATTCCTTTAGTTTACGTTTTAGTTTAGCGTTTGGTTGTCTTTGTTGTTACATATCATTTAGTTACTGGTATGATACAATTAAAAAGTTATATTTATAGGAGTTGTATAACGTTTTATAAATTAAAGCGATGTTCTGTATTTACAATTTTTTTTCACCTGCCACCTACTTTGATCTGTTTTAGAGTTTCACATTTATGTAATTTTCTGTATTATTTAATTAATTTTAATATATTAATATACGATTATATACTTTGACACCCGCGCCGACAGCGTACCGCTGATACAAATAAGCGTACCTACGATGATGTAAGAGCGAAATGGAGCTACGGGAAATGTAGAGATGGATTGTATTCACCGGCGTGAATCCGCGTCGCTTGTGAGTGAGTAAAAAGTTCGTTGTTTTACTTTTAATTACATATTTTGGTTACTACTGCAGATAAAATTATAATTCTCAGTGCAATGTAAAGATAAACGATGAGCGAAACTTTTTTTAAGAGTAAAACTTTTTGATTTAGGCTTCCGTTTATTAAATAATACGATGTAAACGCAAAAGTTGCTCAAAATTTGTCGAATTTTTAGGGATATCGAACTGAGATAATCGCTTTTGAAGTTTAATTCTTCCGTAAGACCCAATGTAATTCGAAACGTTTGATAATTTATTATTACTTTCACTGTACAAAGAACATTTTGATTTATATACGAAAAAATTCGTTATTTTTTCTTCTTTCCGTACATGTGCTTAACTCGTTTTTCGCGTTTTGTGCCCTAATGCATGGACCGATTTTGGACGGCCTTGACATTTAGAATCAGTATATGATAACCTTTGATTTTTTGTGAATTTCAGCTTGTGACACCAAAACCCCCACGGAAGTCATTTCTAGACGACTTTCTTTGCAACGAGCACTCTACTATTAAAGAAAATAATTTTAAAATTTAAGATGGCAGTTACGCCCTCTGTTGGTCTTTTTTAGAAATATTTTCCAGCGATTCTTCATGACCGATTTACCCAATAATTTTTTTTACCCCTAAGTCATATGAGGAACGGTTCTCGAGATATGGCCGAGGAACAATCTTATTGGGTCACCCGGTACTTTAAGCATAAAAGATGTAAAACAATCAAAAATGGTTTTTTATTTTTATTTTCATTCTTTATCATTTCATTTTATTTTGTGTTTCAATACATATAGTAATTTTCGCCCTCATACAATTACAATAATACAAATAACATACAATATTAATATTATATAAATGGTATAAATATTCAAAAAAACAATACATTTTATTTTCGTTTTTTTTAAATCGTGTAGTCACGGAGTTTCACGTCAGTACCCGTTTGCTATTGAAATACTCATCTATAGAGTATGGATTATTTTGATTGTAGTTAATAATGGTTTTTTGTTTAAATATCCAAGAAATTGTAATCTTAATATTTGATCTGGTTTGAGTTTGAGCTAGAAAGCTGTTATGTCAAGAATGTGTCACCTGGTTTTTTTGTAGAGGTGTTATAGAGTGGTTTCTGTAACTGCAATGGATGGTAAGAGTGAAATTTCATTATTTATTTGTTATCTCACTTCGCGATCGCGCGACTGCGACTGCCATATCTATGAGGTGCCGTTTGTTCCAAAATTAAACAGGTGCAGACGAACTTAAATGGTTGAAACAGACCGCTGCCAAATAAACTCCCCACAATATTAAAATAAATACCCTCCGACATAGAAAAAACTCACACACCGCCGCGGATTTACCCGGCTAATTTATCCCCCGCTGTATAGCGCGGTGTTGAAGCGTTGTTCATCTAGTCGCCGCCCGCTGGCGCACCAATGCCAATCCTTGGCGGTTTGTGGATCGGATTGCTTTCGTGCACTCGTTAAGAATCATCGAATGCTTTTCCTTGCTTGCTGCGCTACATCTCTCATGCCACCTTGCCTTATTCAATAAGTAAGTTCACGCCCAAGGCCAATTGCTTATTTGTATTTGGCGGTTGTCCTCCCTTGTTGATTTCTCACTCGAATTTCGTGACTATTCAAAATTTGAATCTGATATGATGTAGTTCTGGAGGATATCATGTTTGTTTTTCTCATTGATTCAATACTGGATTTCTGTACCACTCAGTAGAAAATAATCATACATAGCCACACGTTTTCTATAGAAGATGAGGTTCACTCCCTACAACCAACTCTTTTCAGGTTAATTTCAAAATAATTGGTTTTCTATATGGATTGGAAAAGTGTTTTCGCACCCGTGGAGTGCGCCGTGGCAAAACAGTAACAAACACAGGGGCAGCGAGCAGCGACACCTAAATAAATCATAAATGGGCCATCAACAGACTCCCTGTCCCCATAAATTTCAATTTATTATGCAAAGATCTAAATTATTAAAGGCGACATATTTCGGAAAATGTCATCATCAGACCCTAAAATGTAATGTTTTAACAAACTTGAATTAACCTATGGTGACGAAACTTACAACAAAAGGATCGACCGAAAACGGTACAAGGTTGACATAAAACGTATAAAATAAAAAGTACAAAAATTCTGAAGGGGAAAAACTCGTTAATAAGTTAAGGATCAACAACCCTGAAGAGGATGGTGACAGAAAGTGAAAAATGGGCGGGGGGGGGTATTCCATCATGTACGATTCTTCCCTTATAGTGTGGCAAATACCATCATGTACATTGTAATAGCAATAATCGTACTTTCTCAAGAATAGTAGAATAAATGACGAAACACTCCTATTTTATTAATAATCTCCAATAAAATAACAATTTGAGGTTAATTATCAAATAACATGAGTTAATTTCTCTACACAAGCAGTAAACAGCTTAAACGTTTAATGCCATGTTTGAAATTTGCTTAAACCAAGTTTGTGATTCTTAATTCTATCAACCTAATTTTGGCGTAGGTACGCAAACGTAATACATAGTTAAACCAAATACGCAAAACCGAGCGCAAAACGGTGATTAATTTAAATTTCTTTCCACAAATCGTAGTTTATTTCTGAATTTAAACTGCTTTAATATAGTAGGTACTTGAGGTTTAAAATGAAGCGTTACAATTTTTCTTCTGGATTTTCTCATGTTACTCTTACGTAAATGCTTGGAAAATGAGCGGTTTTATCAAAATCATTATTTCGTTAGACATCTTTTTTTGCTACTTCGTTTGCGCTAGATTTTTTTAACCAATTACCTACCTATGCCAATCTACTTTAAATAGCACAAGTAATGCACCTGTCTATCATTTTTGTAAAAATAGATACCGTTTCCTCTTTGAACTCCAGAAGCATTGTATAAAGCTTTTATAATTCTGTTGACTATTGTATGTAGTTGGAATGTACCTATTTGGTATTTTTAAACTTTAAAATTACTATAATTAGTCTATAAACGCAATCAACGGTACCTACATGTGTTAGTTAATGTCCTTTTCAAAATATGTTTATCGATGTAATCTTTGAGGCACATACTGGCACTGGCACGATTAGAGGTAGGTATGACGTCTGTGTGGATACATCTTGAAATACTTGTGATCTGCCGCGAGGTCCGTAGGGGTTTTACATTAAATTTATGGTCTTTGATGGTGATTTTAAGTGGCATACTCGCGTGCTTCTAACAGCATATGCAGACGTATTAAAAACGAACATTAGAAATCAATTTAAAAAACAGAATCTCGCCGTAATGCTTTGTGGGAATGTGCACTTTATAAGTTTGAATTAATGCCAAATATTAATAACCAAAATAATTTATTTTTTGTGGGTCAAGATTCAGGTCTTGTTTTATTTCATTGACTAAGTTTGATAAGTTTGAATACGAGTTATTTTTAGGTTTTCGTGTGTAAACTATATCTATTTTGGTGACCATTTCCGTCGTCAAAATTAAGCATTGAATGAAAACCTGTTATGCCTCATAAACTAATCAATAAGCCGAAAATAAGAGCGGTAGTTCAGTGGAATATTATGCTATAGTTGTGTTGAGGCATAACCATTGCTGTCAACTTCGATATTGAACTTCAGAATTATTATCATATGGGACACATTTTAAGAGCGGTAAAATTTCCTATACGGTAGCATTGAAAAAAACAAATTTGGATCACGTGGTTAACCAATAATAAAAAAATATATACAGTGCGTTCCTTAATGATATGCGAATATTACAGTGAATAAAAAATTAATGATGGTTTGCTTAATAAACTATCATCCAAGAATGTTGTTCCAAAATTTTTTCCAATAATTGCATTAGTTTTTCAGACTACAACGGTTTTTGTTTTTAATTTTAAAATAGAAGTGCGCATAAGGATTCAATAAAATAGTCCGGTGGCCGGACATTAGGGCGCCGACATTAGAACGCAGACATTGCGACGCGAACATTAGGGCGCAGATATTGGGACGCGGCTTATTTACTTTGCGGCCTATTGTCTTGCGGGACAATAATGGCGTCTTATTGTTTGCGTCTTAATGTCTGGCAACCTAATGCCCGGTCAGCTCTTCGCGCATCCATTATATTTACAACACACCTTAGGGGTTGATTCTGTCCCGCCATCGGCATAGCTTGTAATAGTATATTATTCAACGAGTGAGAAAGTTGGCAATTATTCACGAAGATAAGATTTGCGCCACGAGTCGAAGACGAGTGGCGTAATTTATCTGAGTGAATAATGCCTTTCTTACGAGTTAAATACTATACTTTTTCTACTTGTATTCAATAATTACAGTAATAATAACATTATGCATAATGGTTTTATTATGTCATCAAACAATTGACAAAATTAGCAATGTACGTAAAATCCGGAGAAGTTAGAATTACCTATATCGTCGTCACTGCTCATCATGATTGCACTACTGTCCATTTTCACGTAATTTTCACAAAACTGATTTCTCGTAATTTGTTTGATTGACATTAATGTTTGACAACTGAATTTATCACGATCCGAGATCTTGA